TAGGTTCTATTTTCTAATCCCCTCATTCTTCATTGCAACAGACAAGACTTCAGGAGAGAGATAAGTATAAACCGATATCTACCTACCTACCTACCTTTAAGTAAAGAGAAACTATTTTTCTATTTCTGTAATCCAAAGGAACTTGATTGTATGTGTGTGTAATTCTGTTTTTGTGTGTATGTGATTTTTTTTTTGTACAAAACTTTTATTTTTTGGATATAATATCACATTTAACATTGGCTTTCACTTATCCAATACCCATATTTCCCTTTCCCCCCTCCCTTGCTAGTGGCTTCTCGCAGTGCTCGACCCTTTTCCCCTTTACATTACTTATATTTGCTTAAACATTTTAAATTCTATTACAAGATAACATTTCTATCAATATTGTTCTAAATACAATAAATTGTGTTTAACGTCCCAGTTTTCCTCTAGATAGTCTTTAAAGTCTTTCCAGTCTTCAAAAAATTCTTGATCTTCTTTGTTACTCAACTAGTTTTTGTGTGTATGTGATTTTGATACTCTTTAGCAAAAAGACAAATTGTTTGGAATTCACCAGTCTTGTCTCTATCACTGGGACATTCTTGGGGTGGACAGAACCTCGGTAAACTTTGGCGGGAACCCTTATTAAATTTAGTTTGCCATCTGTTGTAGATAAAGCAGATTGGCTAACAGCGTTGCGGGCCCAATTCGAAGACAGGAACGCCGGGCCCAAGGTGAGGACGTTCCTACGTACCCTGAAGCAAGGCAAGAGATCCGTGAGGGAATACTCCTTGGAGTTTAAGTTGCACGCGGCCAAAGTTCAAGCCATTGAAATATTGCCTGGCCAGAAGTTACCCTAGGGGCGCATTTACGCAATGGGGCCGGACGAGAAAGATGAACTGCGCAAGTTCATCGACAAGAACCTGGCTCGTGGTTTCATCAGACCAGCCTCATCCCCGTTTGCCGCCATTCTTAACAGTGCCTATGTTAATGCATCTATAGCTCTTCAATAAAGTATTACATTTCCTGATAAGCGTGTACTACGTTGTTGGCTGTGGGTTCTGACACCCACCCGTTTATTAGATATTTCATATGCCATTTTTGCCTGTTTACTAGCAGCCGTCCTGATTTCTGGTAAATCTTCCTGGTCGAACACAGCTGGTTGGTTGCAGGCGATGGCCCTCAACCGTCATAGAGAAGCCTTACGAAGTGGGACAGGGAAGGGTGCCATTTGAGGCAGGGCATTACGCTTCTGTGTGTGCTGAGGCTTTCTGGACGGAACATTGCCTCTCCTGCTTATTCTTATCCTGTCGGGGTGACTTTCTGCTTTGAGCACTGCTGGGAAAAAACAAAAGCTGAGACGAGGCAGCTTTGGAGGAGAACATGCAAGCAGGGAAAGGTTTGGTGTTTGCTCTGATCCACCCAGGGGGTGATTTAAGTCTTCAATTAGGTGACAGTCCACTTCAGACCAAAGATTCTGCTGCCATCAGATCTAATGTGGCCTTATAGGGGGAGACCTGGCTACCCAACTTATCCTGTGGATCTTGGTTTGTGGCTGTACTTCAGCTATGCAGTGATTTCTCTTCTTTATTTGTTCACATTATCTTTTGCTGCCGATTTCTTTTTCTTTCTTCTTTTTGTAAGTGGCTTAGGGTCTCCAGTGGGAAGTGTTAGAAGTGGAGGACTTTGCGCTGTCTCCTGTCTCAGGCTTGAGCAGATGGCACCAAAGAGTTTAGGCAGATAGAGAGGTCAGGACACACAGAGCATCCTTTCCTTCCTGCTATCCGATCCTTGGTCCTTTCCGCCTTTGCCTGCCGCTCCGGATTTAGTGTTCAAATTGAGGCAATTTAAGTCCAGGGCAGAACAGCATCCAAATAACCCAGGGCAACGGCAGGCTGAAACCGGGCTGACCACTGAAGGGAGAGAATGGGGGGGTGGGGGAACCTGGATTAAAAAGAAGGTTGAACTCGATTTTAGTGCAGAATGGGGGAGAAAAAACCTGAATTAAAAAGAAGGTTGAACTCGATTTTAGTGCAGAATGGGGGAGAAAAAACCTGAATTAAAAAGAAGGTTGAACTCGATTTTAGTGCAGAATGGGGGAGAAAAAACCTGGATTAAAAAGAAGGTTGAACTCGATTTTAGTGCAGAATTGGGGGGGGGGGGCCCGGGGTTAA